AAAAATTAACTTATAATTGTAAAAGTTACTAATAAGTAAAAAATATTAACTTATGTGTAAAAAAATTATTTATAAGTAAAATATCTCTTATGAGTAAAAAAAATTCATATAAAATAAAATTTTATTGAGGGATATATATGTAATTTTATTATTTTAAAAAAATTTTAGAACCGATAGATAATAAACTCTTAAGCATAGGTTGGAAAGTTTTAAAAGCCGTTACTAAAATCACTGAAAATCGATCCGTTCATAAATGCTCAAAATTGGTACTTTAAAAAACATTCACAACCGATACCACGAAACTCCCAGCAGGCCCTAAGGTTGTTTTAAGTGTTTGTTTATATGTGCTCGTAAATGTTGAAATTTCGAGGGTTACAATGCGTTTTTTGTCAATATTGAATGTTTGTGGGTCACACTTCTTCTGTAGGAAATTCGCTTTTGTCTCATCAGTTTTGTCGTATAAAAGTAAACAAATGCACAAGTAGCTAAGGTCCCGTTCTCTTTGTTGTTTTCAAGCCGTTTTCTATTTTCGATTTTTCAAAACACCAAAAACTCGTTTTCTTTTCCATTTTCAAAAACGAATTTTTGAAAACAAAAAAAAATTTTATGAAGAAAACGCAAAACGTGAAAAATCACGTTTTGGACGTTTTCTCCACAGAACAAGCCAAAATGGCCAAAACATGGGAAACGACATTTTTACTTCCTCTTTCATTTTATGTTAGTTCAGCAGAAAATACAAAGGTAGAATGAAATCTTAGCTCCTTCCTCCTCTTTCCGTTTCCTCTTCATCAATCTTTCCTCGAAAGCGGAAAGGATCTAGAGGTGGTGGGGTGTCATGTGCTGCTTTTTGATGACGACGTCACGGCGTCATTCGTGAATTCCAGCGACGCCTGTGGGTCAGTGTTGAGCACAATCTAAAACCGAAGCCGACCAAGCCGATTTGGGTAAATTCCACCTGAATGCCAAATTTTGGAGTGTGTGGGTGAGAGCAGGGAAGTTATATGGTTGAATAATTGGGAAAATTGGGAAATTGGGATCATGGTTTAATGGGCTGGGATTAGGATATAAAAATTGGATTATGGCACTCATGCGGAGGAGGTGGGTGGAGAAAGGCAGTTGAGGGCGGTAGGATAAACATGGATTTGGAGTGTCACCTCCGTTTGATTTGCCCGGAAGGTAAAATTCTCTAATTTAACAGAAGCTTTTTTTCCTCATTTTCTTTAAATCATTTGGTTATGAGCTGATTTTCCTAAAAAGAAAAAATATTGAGTTGGGATTTTATTGGGAAAAGATTAATTTGAAGTTAACTAATAGTGTGCTCGGAAGGGTGTTCAAAAGTTACTGCTTTTGTTGAATCAGCATCTGTGTGATTTAGTGGAATCAGATATAGTTTTGTTGAAAACTTGAGGTTCACTTGATGAGATGAAGATGATCCTTTCGGTTCTGCTTCACTTAGCTGTGTGATTGTATCTTAATTTACAGTCAGTTGTAGAAAAAGATTACATGAATGTATAAATAATAGTCTGTCTGATACCAAGTCAAACAAAAATTATTTTTGATGTTTTTATTATTACTAGTTTGTCGCCCGTGCAATGCACGGGCAATGTAATTTTGAAGGTAATGCTGGCGTTGAAAAGAAGTATATACTTAAGTATTCCAGTGAGTTTCAAATAGGTGGCAACAAGTATATACCTAAGTATTCCAGTGAGTTTCAAAAAATAAAAAACTTTCTACCACCTTACCAACACTGTGGCTCCTCTCCCCGTCAAATTCCTCCCAACACCACCACCACGTAGTGATAATGGCACCATTGATTGAATCAACAGTGCACACGCTCACCTCCCATCTACTATTCCTGGCTTTCCCTCCATTTTCAACCTCACACAATCTTCCATAGCATCCAAAACCAACATGAAACAGAGCCGAAAAGCATACAAGATTGTCAAAGGCTACTTTC